AGGAGAAGGAAGAGGAAGAGGAGAGCAAAAGAAGGGAGGAGATGAGGAAGAGGAGGGGGGAAGGAGGAGAGGAGGGAACGGAGAAGGGGAAGAGGAGGAGGAGGAGAAAGAGGAGGAGAGGAGGAGGAAGAGGAGAGGAGAACGAGGAGGAGGAGGAGAGGAGGAAGAGGGGGAGGAGAGGAGGAGGAGGAGGACGAAGACGAGAGGAGGAAGAGGAGAGGAGAAGGAAGAGCAGAGGAGAGGAAGAGGAGGAGGAGACTAGAGGAGGAAGAGGAGAGGAGAAGGAAGAGAGGAAGAGGAGGAGGAAGAAGAGGAAGAGGAGGAAGCCGAGAGGAGTGGAGGAGGAGGAGGAGGAAGGGAAGGAGGAGGAAGAGGGAAGGCGGAGTAGGAAGACAGGAGGAGGAGGAGGAAGAGGAGAGGAGGAGGGTGAAGAAGGAGAGGAGGAGGGGAAAGAAGGAGAGGAGGAGGAGGAAGAAGGACGGTGCAGGAGGAGGGGGAACAAGTACGGGGAAGGAGGAGGGGGAACGAGGAGGCAATTACAAGCTGGTAAATTTGGGAGAAGAAGAAGAAGAAGAGGGGGCGAGGGGAAGAAGAAGAGGAGAAGGGAGGGGAAGAAGAAGAAGAAGAAGAAGAGAGACATGACCCCTCAGCTACTTCATGGTACAGCAAACAACAATGCCAACAGCTGTGATTCAGGCACAACATATATGAAACAAAAGGGAGCGTTCCAACTACCACGCAGGAGATAGTTGACAATACACTGTTATGACTCCATGACAGATACAATGGCAGAAGCTTTGCCATCTGCAAGCCATAACCTCAAAGCTTTTGCAGCATTTACTTCTATGACTAGACGCAAACACAGATAACCTATATAGGCTACAAATTGCCAAATTGCCCAACAGCCGATGAGCCTCTCCACCAACCAGCCTCCTACCTTTCCCTCCCTCCCCCCTTAGTTCGGATGATTCAATAGGATTCACAGGACCAACTCCTGAGTGCTAAGAACAAATAAGCTTTCTGTACATCTGTTCCATCCGCAATGCCATCCAAAACCATTACCCACGTGTTCTGTCAAGGATAGAGGTAACAGACAAACCTTTCCACCTACACGCTCCATGCCCCATTCCCATTGCTAAGCTGAATGTGATAACCTCTGCCCACTCCATATCACATGCAGCTTCTCCTCACGCAGCAGAAGCTGACCCATTATGAGCTGAGAAACGGAGCTAAAATAGAAGGTTGACAGACAAACAAGTGGATAGATCCCTAACACCTACATTCCTCTTCTCTTACATTTGTGCGGACAGATTGGATGCACTCATAGGCAGCCAGAGGCGAGGAAGGAAACAGGCACTACAAGGACAGCAAGTGCTTGCTTACCTGAGACCTTGGCAAAGCATAGGAACGGTAAACGATCAAAACAGTGTGCCCTAACAAAACATGGAAGCGAAGAAAAAGTGTGAAGTAGATCCTCGCAATTTCAATTTTCGACATTTATGAATAAAAATTTCTTTGCAAACGTTTGTGCGTGTTTGGCATCGATGATTCTAGCCTTTGCAGCAACCCCCCTCCTCACCACAGTCATTCAGATATCCTGAACTCCACTCCCAGGATGTCCTTGATAGTCTCGTAACTCACGAAAGCAATTGCAATAGAGGGCACAACCTGCACATAAGCAACACATCCAAAAGAAAAGACAGCATGTCCGTGTTAAATTAAGTCGAACACCACACCACTGAAAATATCCACATTGCACATTCCCCATCTTACAATGAGCAGCTGAGCACCAGATATCACTGAACAAGATGTCAAAAAGGCAAGTGAAGCCAAACATCAGGCATTGGCAAACACAAACCCGTAAACTCGTCCCCCAGCCGAACGACTTCGAGACAGTGAAGCTGTAAACACTCGATTGCCTGGTCACCGAGAAGATATAAACCCGTAAAACTCATCCCCCAGACGAACAACTTCAGACAGTGAAGCTGTAAACACCTGATTGCCCGGTCACCGAGCAGATGTACCTACCTGCCCAAGCAGACGGACTACTCTCTTCCTTGCCAACTGGAAGTGTTCCAACTGGAAGTGCTCAAAGAGTGCCTAATGAGAGAGACGAGGAGAGGGGGACCGTATGAAGTGCCCAAGAGCTCTGAGAGCAACACATTGCTGTTACCCTCAGAGATCTACTGTCAGAAAAGAAGTATAACTTCACCTGCATGCATATATGGAATGTGGTTTGCCTCCGGACTTTCCAAAGCTTGGTACCATGTTACTTCCAACCTTTTCCAAGAGCAGGTCAGCTGGTAACATTGGTTCAGAATAAAATTGGTTCCACTTTTAACTTTCACTGCCTTCGTATGTAGATCCGTAAACCACCACCACCTCCGAGCCTCTTCTTGCAGAGGTGGAAAAGAACTGAGCGCCGAGCATTGCCAAATCGCCAGCGCGGCTTTTTTCTTTTCATTTTGGCTGGCGCCACTAGCCATTTTGGCCCCGTGGATCTCAGCATCCAGAGAATGTGAATAGGTTATGTTATGCTTTCGTTTCAAGTTTGCCTGTGAAGGTACTGGTGGTTTAAGTGCTTTTTCCTTCAAATTTATTCACAATTCAAAAGAAGTGTGAGGGTTTACCCCTCAGCATAAGGCCCTGCAGCAGGCGTGTGCCCACCCTAAGTGAAGCCCGGCCCCCTGAACCTTGATGTGCCCTGAGCTCGTCAGTCTTTGCAAATCTTTGTGGGCGCCAGACAGTTGCCACGTGCCAGTTCGTTACATCCGCTTTGCTCCTGAGAATCGGAAATATGTAATAGCCTTCCAGGCTGTTCCAGCAACGTGGTCGAAACAGGGAGTACCGCACGTTTGTGCCTGGGTGGTTGGGCCTGCCTAGCCAATTCGGTCCCAGGCCACTGCCTGAACGGGGCTGAGCAGACACTTTGGCCGAGACCGAAGCTACTGGAAACTCGGTCTCATGGGGCAAGCAAGGGGAATGTGCCCGCCACTTTCCATATAAGAAAGGGCCGGGCTCCTGCCTGGGCATTCGGGCACTTGGTAGAGCTGGCGGCGCCATAGCCCAGCCCACGTAGCCGAGCTTCGGCTTGGAAAGACAGCGAGAGTTGGTGGTGGTCTTCGTGTAACAGGGAGAAGACGTGGGTGATGAAGTCAAGGGTGAGAGAGAGAGAGACATGAGTTTGATGATGTGAAGGCACATACCTGGTCATGACGATGGCCTACAAGGTTGACATCTTCATGTACTTCGGTGGTTGCTGCTGACGTCAACAGGACGGATTGGCAATCCTTAGGAAGCTAGTAGCTGTGTGATCGTAGTCTAGGCGCTGAGCACCAAGTAGGAGGAAGGGCTCTGGATACATATGTTGGTGGTGGCAAGAGTACACTCTCATTGACAATCGGATTCAGTGCTTTGGTTCTCCGTTGGTGGAATATCAATGCATTTCTGCTTTCTTGACAGTGTTGGACTTGCTGGCTTTCAATGTGATTTTGCATTCTGGATTTCTGTCATTTCGCTATCGCTCATTTTCCTTGCAATTTGGTATCGGAGTTGGTTGGAGACACTCTACTGGCTCCTTCGCAATAGCTGTTTGGTCCTTCGCTGGTTATGGTGGGGCAGTGATCACGCTTGTGCGTTGGGTTGTGACGGCGGCCCAGTGTCACGTGGGCGCGCCAGGAAGGCTATGTGGTGACATAAGGGGTGCATGCTGGATGATGAGAGCTTGCTGATGTTGCATTTTAGCCGAGGTGGAACTGCATTGTGTTGTGGGTTGTGCCAAGGCATCGACCAGTCATCATAAATGTACGTCAGGTTACTGGTGAGAAAATATGCGGTTGGGGACGGCACAATGAGGCGCGTTGCTCCTTACCTTATCTACCCTCTTGGTTGCTTCTTACCGTGAGGAAGTGAGTTCTGTCTTGAGAGTCCTCTCACTGTGAGGCGTCGCGAGCACTCAACCTTGAGAGTCAACATTCTTCCTGGGGAGCAAGCTGGTGGGAGACAAGTTGCCTCTGGAAGGTCCGGGAAGAAGCACTTGGGTCACGGTCACCACGCCAACCCGCTGGGACAAGTACACACATGTTTGCCAATTGTTCTTTGGTCTGCTTGCTGTGCTATAGAGGTCATGTCGGGCAGGCCAGCCCTATGCGGAAGAGAAGTACCGGACCGTCTATAAAGAGACTCCGGCAGGGATACATGACTCATGCTGTACGCGAGTATAAAATAAGTACGGTTGGGGCTGGCCAGTTCTGCAATGACTTGGGGCACAGGGGTGGGCCGGTTGCACACCTTCAGACACACCCCTGAACCAGAGCTTCAGGATGTTGACACAGTGACTACTCACGAAGAATATAGAGGGAGGGAAGATCCCAGTAAACTGTTCAGTATAAATCCGTTCTGCATGCACACCCGCAATGATTTTATTTTCATTTTTGATTAGTTAATTGTGACGGACTTTGCTGACAACTAACAGACTGCTGCAGATAGGGTAGTAATTATTCTTCGCTGCATTGCACTCTATTTCAGACTACTAAAAAGTAGGAATGGATGCCATGCTGCAGTAGGTCCCAGCAAAGACACCAGTGCACATTGCATGCCACGCATAGCTCATGAGTGGAGAATACAGTGAGTTTGAAGAACTAGACCAGGGGGATAGACTTGCACTCAGTCACCCGATCACTTTCTTGGTGTTACAGTCAGGAGAGGACAGGAGACTGCGGACAGAAGCTAGGGAGAGGGTCATGTTGCAGAGGGCTAGGGCAGCAGCAGCCGACGCTGAGAAGGCACTAGCAGCAGCCACAGCAGAGGCAGCCATTGCTACCATCTCTACTGCGTCACAGGTCTCTTCTCAGGCCAGTTCCTCAGGTACAAGTTCAGGTACACCCGGAACTTCCACTGGTCAGTATGGCTTGCTTGTCAGCCAGCAGCAACAACTGTCAGCAGAGGATTAGGAGATCCAAGAAGCGAACACACTCCACACAGAGCTACAGCGCCAGTTACAAGATGTAGAGGAGAGGAGAGAAAAATCTAGAATTAGAAAAGCTAGACTTGGGGCAAGGATGCAGGAACTAAGCAGACTAGAGGCTGTAGATGAGTCAGCATTAGATCCTGTTGTCAGGATCCTTCGGAACTCTCTGTTGAGTGTTGCCAAAGCACAGGCCGTACAACAGGAGTTGTTTGCCGGATTCTGGCTGCGGTGCAGGCACCTCAGCCCACGGTGAGGCCACCCCATGTTGCTGTAGTTCCCCCTACTGTCTCAGTTCACGCTCCCGCCGGTGGGACCATCCTTTTCCCCTCTGTATGGCATACCTCCACCAGGTGGTTTAACAGCAGGTAGTAGTGGACAGATTCCAGTCCCTTCTTCACTTCCACATTCAACGGCTGCTGCTACAGGGCAGTCACACGCACAGCCGCCTTTGCAACAGTTACCGCCGCAGCAGCAGGTGCTGCCGCAGCGGCCTGTTCCACCGGTTTCCCAACCGATGCAGCAGGCACAGGGTGCTTTACAGGCCATGCAGTGGACACCCAAGATACCCTTGTGGAGTCCTAAGCCCTTCTCTGGCGAACAAGAAGAAAGACGAGGACCTGGATACCTGGGTGACGACTGTGCCTACGTATGTGAGGCAAATGCTCACTAGGACAGAGGAGGAAGTCATTGTCACTGCATCCTTTCTAGAAGGCTCTGCAGCTAGATGGTTGAATGGGTTAGTACAGCAGCAGGGCTGCGGTCAGAACTTCGATGGTTGGGCACAGGCCATATCACTTGAGTTCGTACGACTGGTCTACCACAGGTGGCGTGACCCCCAAGAGGCTGAGAAGGCCACTGACTCTCTTGCAAGTCTGGGATCAAAGAGATACCAGACAGTTCGCGAGGTAACAGACGCTGTAGAGCGGCTGATCATTGTCCCGGGTATGCGGTATGAACCGCAGGTCCTCTTGACGGCTTATTTGAGATGTCTACCTACAAATGTCAAAAGGAAGTTGGTCGACGAGGTTTCCATCGACATGCATGACTTTGCTTCATTCATCAAGAAGGCCTTAGAAATTGAGGCTAGGTTTGGGAGTGCCTAACAGGGACAAGTAGATGGGAGAAAGAAGAAGCTTCCTTACGATTGGGGAAGAAAGGCAATATCATGTTTGTTGACCACGATGACCAAGCAACTGAGATTGAAACTTCTCTAACCTTGGGGACGAAATGGGTGTGTGGAGACTTCAAATGGTGGAGTAGCCGCGCCCATTAGAGAAAAGGGTAAGGGGGCCGAGAAGAAGAAGGCAGGCCAGCCCAAGGGCCAAAGTGACTAAGGACCAACCATATGGGTGAAGCTAGGTCTGGAGTATGAGGTGTGGCAAGACCGTGTTACGCGAGCGCTTGCCTAAATCGTGATCATGGCAAGTATGGGCACACAATGGCCAGGTGCAAGAGTAAGCGGATCGCTAGGAAGGTCGCGTCCTCGTATGGGCACACAATGGCCAGGTGCAAGAGTAAGCGGATCGCTAGGAAGGTCGCGTCCTCTATTGTAACAGTTGGATCTTCCAACACCGGTGGTGCTTCTGCGAGCACTTCCTAGGGAAACACCTCGGGCCAGTAGGAGTGTTAGCCGCTCTTACTCGTGCTTAAGTCAGGGCGAACATTTCGTGGTAGAAGTCAATGTAGGTGGCCGAAAGCT